TCTCTAATTGCATATTTTCATTAATCGGCAATTTTGCTATCATTAATTCTTCCTGACAGGTTCAACAGAATAACAGTTTATTTCGCTACTAGAATTTATTAGCGAGGCAGACACTTACTAGAGGAATTGAACATTGTTTAATTTGTTCTTAAATTTTTTTAATGTAGTGTTCTACAGTGAAATGCACAACTCGTGATATTATGAATTAGTTCAACAATATTATTCATGAATTGTTGATGTTCAAAGAAAAATTACCAAGAACATGACTCGACTACCGAACTAATGCAGGATGCAATTAGAGCCAAATGGTAAATCCGCACTAAACGATAAATAAGGAAATGTAAATAGCAAATGTCAGAAATGAAAATACCACATCAATTGAAAATTACGACGGAAGTGACCAAAAAATGGCAAACCCGCTTGGATTTGTGCTTAATTTATGTATAGATTATCATCAAAAGATTAATAGTCCAGGATGATAGTATTAATTGACAACCTCCGTTTTATATCCGAGGCATAAATTTAAAAGAATCACAGATACACCTTAACGAATAATGTTTCCCAAAAACTACAAAAAATGTGTGAAGTGTAAGAAATTAATCACGCTTTTAGAATATTGCACAACAAGCAGCTTACAGAACAAAAAGAAATATAGACTCATTCGTCGCAAATCTGATATGGCCGTATAATAAAAGATCTTAAAGTTGCTTGAAATTGGAAATAAAATACTGGCGAATAGTGTGAAAATCTTTGGTTCATAACTAGCACGTCTATCGATATTAATCGTTTTTACCGTTTACTGTGGGTTTCAAAAATTGCATTTCTTTATTGCTACCTATTCCGAATCACAATCGACAAACCAATTGTATTTTACTGCATGCATCACAAATCTTTCTGAACAAATTGAAGAGAATTCATCAAAACCTTTTCATAATGCAATAGCCATATTCGATTTCTCATACGTAATGTTATCTTAATCAACTGCATATCTTCCTAATAATAATTTCACCCGTTTATTCGTAGTTTTTATAATAGAATTTGTTTATACAATAGATAATAATTAAATTGTTTTTTCTCCTGCGTTTATTCAACTCGCTTCATAACTGTTGATACGGATGAAGGAATACATAACCATATGGATACATGACTTTGAACACAAATTGCTTAATTTTGCTAAACTTTATTAGAAAACGAAATTTTTGGCAGATACCTAATTGATATAATTTATTATCCCCGCCGGGCTATGTAGCTGGACAGAACAACATTTTGTACGATATTTCTCAAAAGTAAACTCATAGAATATGATTAACTTCGACGTAAATCACTTACTTCTAGAAGTAAGAAATTTTTTACCCATAATACTTTGCTCGGACATTTACCGACATTTATTAAATGTTTAATGAAATTAGAAGAGGTTAATCAACCCGCATGTTTGTGTGTTACTTTTGCGCAAATAACTTCTTAATTAGTACTGCTAATTATTTAATATCAGCTCGAGTTTTCATGACTATGCAATCAAATCGAAAGTTTGATAAAAGTATACGTTGTATTACCCCATTAAATGATTGAACGGTTTTGTTATCAACTGTTTCGATAACATGTATTTTCTTTCCATGAATATATTTCAGCAGCAGTCTGTATGAAAATTTCTATACGCTACATGACTTATTGTACGCTAAATTAAATGACTGCTTTACGTTATTTAATTGATGATTTTAGACAAATTCCATCTTATCCTGGCGTCCTCATAATCATCTTTTTCATCGCACGTAAAGTTCGTACCGCTCGAATCTTATTTAAAAATGTACCGAATAATTCATCAAACGATTCTACCTCATTCCAGTGGCATCTGTTCCGTATTGTACGTTAATTGAATTAATCAAATCCCGATTGTAGTTATTCATACCATTTAGCTTATATCAAGCATCCGGAGGCAGGAGGAAAATTGCAAAACAGCGATTTTCATTTTCATTGTACAGTAATTTAGTTGGTTCCGGATTCAGATAATATGTGCAAATCATTGGTTTGAATTGAATTTATATATTAATAAAATATTGCTTCTGCTGTAATGATCCTGGTCTCACCTAAACTGCAGCATAATTTCCAACAAGACACAACACAAATAAAAAGGCAAACATATTTCATAAAGTATTTGTTTTACGTGTATCTCAAAGCGATGTGCCTCTAATAGCAACCAAATATAAATACCAGACGGGGAAATAAATTTTTGCATATTGACGTAAATATATTAAGAAATACTTGTGGAAAGCGCGCACTTTTATAAGTCGTTCGTCTCGCTCAGAGACAGTTTTAGACATTTTTGTACCGATTCGGCTGTAAAATATTCCCTTAAAGTATCGCAGATTAATTTAGGGGCATCCTGTATATCGAGGAAATGTAAATCCCAACCAACGTTATTATTCATACACATTTTTGGTAGCTAGAATATGAACTAGCAACTATTAATAATACTTTGCATAGTGCACACTTTGCGGCTCTATCCCGCGATGATAACTTGAGCTTCGCAGCTCAACCGATTCTCCAAATAAGAGACAGATATTAAGAGCGGTCTTCAGATGGGCATCAATCTCGAATTTCCGCATTTTGCGTGAAAAAGTGGAAACGTTTTCAATAGAACTTTTATATGAACAAAATTCGAATTTTTGGTCTCTAATCTCGTAATGAAAAAGGAAAGCTTAGAGCTGCAGCGGTTCCCTAAACATGAACCAAACCTTCGAAGCGGGTTTCATACCGGCATTAATCTTAAGTTTTCGCATTTGGCGTGAAAGCTAGGAACATTTCTAAAATTATATTTTTTGTAAAAAAGAGCATACTTTAAGGCTCTCGAGATATGCAGATCCACGGGTTCTCTAAGTATGCGCCTAAGAATAAGAGCGATTCTCAAATTCGCATTAATCTTGAATTTGTACACTTTACATGAAAACTAGACACTTTCCTAAAATCATGTTTTATATAAAAAAAGAGCTCAGTTTAAAGCTCTGTCATGAAATAACTAAAGCTTCGCAGCTCAACCGATTCTCTAAATAAAAACGATTAAGAACGGTTTGGAGACGCGCATTAGTCTCAAATTTCCGCATTTTGCATATAAAATTCCGCATATAAAAATTTCAAAGTTTTATATAAAAAATGCGCATTTTTGGGTTATATCTTCTTCCACCTGTTCTCTAAGTTTGAGCCAAAGATTAAGAGCTGATTTCAGACCCGCATTATTCTTGAATTTTCGCATTTGGCGTCAGAAGAAACAAGAAACATTCCTAAAATGATGTTTTACTAGTATGTAAGGAAGTTGGACACTTTAAGGCTCATCCCGCTTTAAGGTTGTATTTGTAAGAAAACATACGCATTACTTACACGTTTTTATTTAAGAAAACATATTTGTCCATTTATCGTTCTTATACGTAACAAACTTTTTATCTTCGACAAGTAAAAAATTATTGTAAAATAATCGAGAACAACCAGTTTATCTGCTAGTTTATTAGTGTTTATTTCCGAATTCAATAAAAATTCCAAATGCATAAAATTATAGACTTAACTATATGAAATAATACAAAATATATATATGTATGACTTCAGCTCAATAAGACTAATATTTGGTAAAATAAAATTGCGTTTAGTAATAAAAAAAAATTATTCTTAAAAACTGTAATCCCTGTTATAGTGCCGATTTTCCAGCAGCTCGTTTTGCAAATTTTTAGAATTTTTACACCCGGCAAGCTAATATTGAATTAAATTTGTGACATTTTGTTTTTGTAAGCAGACCTTTAATTTTTTTTTTTATGGAATTTATAATTATCAGCGCACCAAAAAATTATGCAAAAATCTAACTTGATCTAAACTTTTTAAAGACTTCTTAAATTCTACATTTTAATCTATTTGCATCTGATTTTTTCAAGTCAAGTTCAGAATCAATTTGAAATTTTTTATATAAAATGCACTTAAAAATTCACCTGTCAATGCTATGTAATGTTTTTCCGCTCAGCATGCACAGTTTCATTCGCGGTAGAACGTAATCACATCAGCATCGCGGAAACGACTCTTTCCAACCGGACCATTCACAACTCACAAGGTAATCTCATGGTATATACCATGGTACTGGTCGACGGTATCGGTACCTCATGGTTGCTCGGAACCTGCAAGGTTGCCACTTGGGACCAAAGGTACGAAGGAAGATAAAGCTGATGTTAATGTGTTGGAAGAAAGCTTTTAACAGAAGCTTACAAAAACTTGAACTGTGCGTGTAAATGTTGATCGTCAAATGGGAACAATTCGCATCTGGTTTATAATAATAATTTCACTTAATATAAGCAGAGATTATTAACAGTAATGAGTTGTGATTATTTTATAGGGAATTGCGTAAATATTAAGATTATTCTGAAATTGCTCAATTGAGTTGATGTGCTGTGGCGGTTTTTTCGAGCTATCCACAAAACGAGCAACCAAAGTATGCGTTGTTTGGCGAAATTAATGAAGTGCACAATAACTAGTAAGCGCAGGCCTAAAACAACACTTAAAAGTATTTTTTTGTGATTCTTTGATATTATTTTCTGGCAACGTTGTATGTTGAGAGTGTGTCACGACAACCACGAATTCACACCCATACTGGGGTCGGCCGCTTTTCCTTGCCCATACATTTTGACGTTATTTTGCTTGTCTGACTCTTGCGGATATCAATAATTCAAGAAGATCTAAATCTGACCTTAATTGCTTCTGCTGCCGCGGAAGAGAGTGACTGAAAATCCGTCATTGTGACGCAAACTGGGTCGCTGTGCTTCTGCTTCAAAACGCGAACTAATTGAAAATTTTCATTTCAAATGCTCATCTAGTCTCCATTTGGCTATTTATATATCAAAAATATATTCAATTTCAATCAATTTATGTTCTTGTTCAAAAATGCATTTCTGGTCTTTTCGGGCGAATGTAACTTGAAGAGATGATGCAAACTTAAAAAATATCACGTTACTGACGAAAACGTAAAACAAATATTTTAAATATCCTTGGAAACAATTAGTTGTTTATAAGTGTCATCATCAGAAGCCGTCACAAAGTTCTGTTTCATTTATACTTTAACTCCTCGTCCCGTTCGAAGAAAGGTAAGATGCAGATAATTCCAAAACCCGGTCATATAAGCAGTTAAATTTCCAGCCATGTATAAAATGGACACGACCTTCTCCGCATTACTAATCGTTTTTCTGCTTTGTGGCACCCAAGGAAAAACCACTATAAAGCCTACATCCATTGGGTTACCTCCAGTCCATGATATGTTGTTGAATTTTATTCCTCAGGATAAAATACGCGATATCGAACAAGCCCATTTGAACGATGATGATGGCTTTAAAGCCGCTGTTTTGTATTTGCAAGGCGCAGAATGGAAAGCTCTCGTCAGCTCGGTACTGAATAGTACAGAATTTGGCAAATTTTCTGATATGGCTCTAAAGGTACCGAAGTTTTTATATTGGACGGCAATACGGAAAACATACATTTAATTTCTTTACAAGAATGCCTCCTGTAGAATTACAAAAATTATACAAATAGTGTTCTGTTTGCAATAGTCGCAAGTTTTATTCCAAAAGCTAAACGCTGTGAAACATTTAATTTTTATCCAGAATTCGTTGAAGTCTACGGCTTATGGTATGTCTCAACATGTGGCTACAGATTGTATGCCATTTTCTTTGGTAAAAATGCAATAATGTATGGAACATTGCGCTTTACTCAGATTTTTCTCAAATCATCTAATTATTCTACATTGTGCACTTTTGTTTTTATAAATTCACAAGCGACAAAGAGGAAGACATAAAGAATACATTTGTTAAAAATACCTTAGTTCATTAGAGTAAACAATTTAATTCGGTTTAAAACAACCAACCTCCAAGAGCTTTTGTTAATATTGCAAAAATATTTTCAGTTTCAGCACGTGTCTACTGGAAAGTTCATAAATTGCGTTCATAATTGAAAGAGCTTCAGTTGTGATCTGCTTAAAGATTCAACTCCGTTTCACTTCGGGTTTTTATATTTTTTCCAAAAGCTGCAACTGTAATTTAGTCTGTTTTATACGTTTTCAATTTGCAACCTTTAGAAAACATGGGTCAAAAACTTTAAGGTAAAAAATAAAAATTCGTTAATTTGATGACTTTTAGTATAAACTGAATATCAGCCAAGCAATCAATTGCTTGGGAACTTACATTCAATCGTTGAAAGTGGTATCAACGAAGATAACTTCAAAGCCCAACTTGGAACCATTTATTCTCGATATCCAAAAAGCTCTACCGATAGGAGAAATGATCAAGGCTTTGGGATACAAAGGTAATATTTATTCCCATTTCCACAATCAGTAAAATATGTTTTATTTGTGCAACAAAGTGTGGACATATTTTTTCATCTGTTTTTGCCACGTTTCTAACAATATTATTATTTTTGTCGACCAGATTGTTAAATCAAATTTAATGAATCAGTAATTATTTATTTATGAGTAATTTTTATACGACGTTTATAAGAAAAAACTAAACCTAGAACGAAATATAAATCCGGTGCTTGTGGTCAATTACATTTCCAAAAACATTCCATACAACATATAAATGAATGTAATGTCACTCGCGTTAAACAAGAAAGGACAGTTTATACACCACGTAGTTCCAATTAACCCAAAAATAGACTTTTGTACTTTGTCAAGTGAACCAGTTTAGTTAGTGAACAGAACCACATTGAAAAAAGCTCAGTTGCAGTACATATTCAGCGTTGACTTTCCATCATTTTATTTTCTTTTATTTTATATACATCTGCAAAAGCAGACTTTTTAAAGGAAACTAAAAAAAATGTATGATTATTCTGTAGATAATCCAGAAGCTAAAAGAGTTATTGAAGAAATTGGCACCAAAGAAAATCAGAAAATCGCCGAAGACTTACACAACCTTCCAGCAATGGTAAAAATGCGCCAGATCCTGAAGGATATGAACTTCGATGTTGAACCTTACATTTCGCTTGTGTACGCATTTCTAGGATGGGTTCACTAGTTTATGATTTTCGTTCTTGTTTAACTTTGCGTTACTCTTTATCAGAGTTTCACTTATATATTAGTCAGTTTTCAATAAAGTTGTAAAGTAATTGAGTAGAATTTCGACTGTGAGAACGAGTCTGCATGAACTTGACAAAAACAGCTTCACACTAGTGTGTGAGTTGCCCAGCTGAACAATTCAAATATAATCATTCAGTTATCAACACAAACATTAATTGCTGATTGCAGCAAATTGCACCTTGCAAAGCAACATCAGTTAAACGGATTATTTGTAGCATTTATCTCGCAAAGTTAATTAACGAAGACGGTTAACGGTCAGAGCTGGAGAAATTGCCAGTAAATTTTTTGCCAAAATTCCAGCGTGGCGGCGTTTTTTCAGTTCCATTCAAAAAAGAAAGGACGAGTTCTTTAATGCTTGTTATTTGCCTCTCGAATCTCGAAGACGACCAACCAGTCTATATGAAGAACAAATAGCCTTCGGGTAATTACAACGGTACTATAACATCGATTTCTAAAAGGTTTGATGTTTTTAGTACTTGCATCGACGCAAGTGACCAAACTAGTTGGAAATTGGTAAAGCGGAAATAGGCATTACGTAGGAGTTAACTGAAAGTAAACAGTATTCGTTTGGTCAGATTTTTAAAGGTTTTCTAACATCAGTAGCTGTTCACTTTCAAACAATACCTTCTACGATTAAACAAGTTTATCAATTCCTTATATGAAAAGCTCGTTTAAAGTCAAATTTGATTTAAAAGCTGCGCGAAGCGGCTTTGCAAATAGGAGATAATCAAATCGGTTAAACAAAATCAACTTGTGTGCTTTTGCGCTGGATTAATATGCAAATACATTTCACTTTCTTCATAGCAGTCCCATTCCAAAACTTTTAGCGAAGAAATTTAAGTATACAGGTGTGCCCTCATGATCAAAAGGGTACTGCTATATTCTTTGGACCAAATGAAGACGATCTGACCTAACATTTATTAACAAAAAAGTCTGGCTCC